TCTCTCTCCTCTCTCTCTCTCTCTCTCTCTCTCTCTCTCTCTCTCTCTCTCCCTGCCATTGCCATCAGACAATGCCTGGGGCTGAAGGCATGTAGAAGGCTTCCTTCCTCACTCACATGTCTGGACATTGATGCTGGCTCTTAGCTTGGATCTCAGCTGGGGCTGTAAGCTGGAACATTTCCCTGAGGCTCTCTGTGGAGTCTGGGCTTCCCCACAGTATGGCGGCTGCTTTCTAAGAGTAAGTATCCCAAGAAAGAAGTGTTGGAAGTCACATAGTGATACTTCTACCATTGTCTCAAATCCACCCAGATTCAAGGGGAGGGACCATAGACCTCAGCTGTTGTTGGGAAGAATGATATCAGCTTGTAAAAAGCGTATGTGGCATGGGAGATCTTGCCGTGGCCATCTTGGAAAATGCATCTGCCACAGTGCTTTTTCATTATTATTATTATTATTATTATTATTATTATTATTATCATTATTATTATTATTATTTACCTTGAAAGGGCTTCTCTGAACTCAGCCCAAATTCCACTGGTGACAAGATACTAAATGAGTAGAGACCCAGAACCTTGACTAATAACTTCTGTTCTGTCCCCATCATAATTTCCCTGCTAGGAGCCAGGCACTGAACTAGAGTTGGGGATACACATTTCCTAGTCCCAGGGAAGACAGCAATTATCAGCCATGAAAAGACACCTCCAAGACCCTTGTCCCTAAGAATTGTTGCCTTCAGTTTTTACAAATGCACATGGAGGAGGACCTAAGCTCAGGCAGAGACAGAAGGGTCCACCTTGAACTGGGCCCACCCCAAACCCCAGTTCTTGTGCAGGCTTGGCCTTGTTTTCCTCTGTTCTTTGTTATTATGGGCTGAATTGTGTCCCCCCAAATTCCTATGGAGAAGTCCCCACTCCCAGCACATCAGAATGTGACTGCATCTGGAGATAGGGCCTTTAAAGAGGTAAGTTAAAATGAGGCCATTAGAGTGGACTCTAATCCAATCCAACTGATGTCCTTATAAGAGGAGGAAACTTGGACATCCAGAGAGACACCAGGATCGTGTGGGACATAGAGGAAAGGCCATGTGAGGACACAGTTAGAAGGTGGCCATCTGCAAGACAAGGAGAGAGGCCTCAGAAGAACCAACCCTGCTGACACTTTGATCTTGGGCTTCCAGCCTCCAGAACTGTGAGATATAAAATTCTGTTCTTTAAAGCCACCCAGTCTTAAATATCCTGTGGTGTTTTGTTATGGCAGCCTGTATCTCCTTTAAGAATGCCCTATTCTAGCGAGGTTACCAAAGTGAGCACAGGCTCCCAGATGGCCTCTCCGAGATGTAATTACCTGGGAGGAGTGGGAGCCCTGGGGTGGGGGCAGCCCTTGTCCCCCAGCCTGTCCTGACAGCACTTCAGGCTGCTTTGATTGGATTAACTGAGGGTCATCTAGGAACTCTGGATTCACCTGTGAAGGGTCAGCTCAGGGGAGGCAGGAGGCTGGCACAGTGTCAGCCAGTTTGGGGATGGGGGGACGTGGCAGGCAGCAGAGCAGCCACTGGCCTGGCCTCAGAGGGGCTGTGCTCTGAGGATGCTCGCCAGGCCTTGCCTGACTGGAGACCTTGGTTCCTCATGCAGCTCCCTAAACCTCCCGGCCGGGCCCCTGGGGAGGTGTGGTTCAGCTCTGGCTCTGTCAACCAGCAGAAAAGCAGCGCCCACTGAAACCACCTGAAGCTCAGCCCACTCCTGAGAGCAGGGCAGGCAGCCTTCCTCCTCCTGGGGCTGTTTCCACCACACATGAATCCAGGGCCCGCCTGGCCCCGATGCATTTTTTATTTTGCTATATTCTTTCCATTGTCCTGACGTGAATAATTTAAACTGACACAGAAAGAAAGGGCAGTCCTTGCCACAGAGGGAGGCTGTCAACTCTCCCCCCACCATGCACACACACACCCGGCTCTCCCACCCCAGTTTGGTTTTGTCTCCTGCGCTTCTTTCTTCCCTGTTCTGTTTCTGTTCTCTGCCTTTTTCCTGAACCTTGTTCTTGAACCTCTCTCTAGGGCTCTCAACGTGCACACGAGAGGTGTACATGCACGTTTGCACACCCCCCCTTCTTCTCCTCCTCCTCCCAGGTGGGCGCAGTGGGTGACATTTGTGAGTCTGTCTCCAGGATACTGTTTCTCCCTCTTGGTGTGAATTGTCTGGAGACAATTCTTATCTGCATTTCTCTTTCTGTTTCTCATTTCCCTTCTTTCCTTTGATCGACTCTGCTGTTTGCATGTGCGAGAGAAAGAGCTGCTTCATTTGTGAATTTCCAGAGGCTATGAGGGCCAAGTTTGAGGTTTACAGAGACTTAGGGGCTTTTGTGTATCACTTGGGCCTTCGGTGACTGGTATGTGGAGCTGTGGCTGGCCATTGGCATTTTCTGGAGATGAGCCTTGGCCTCTCTCAGCCTTGAACCAGGAAGCAGGCTTTATTTATCAGGAGAGGGCATAGCCAGTATTTCCTGAAGGTTCTGGCCTCTAGCCTGTAACCCGGTGCTGTCCAATAGAAATATAATGCAAGCCACAAATGTGAGCCACATATGTCACTTGAAATGTTCTAGGAGCCACATTAAAAAGGTAAAAAGAAACAGGTGAAATTCATGTTAATAATCTCTTATTTAACTCAGTTTATCCAAAATATTATCATTTCAACATGTAATCAAGAAAAAATTATTAATGAGATATTTTATATTCTCTTTTTGGAACTAAGTCTTCAAAACCTGGTGTGTATTTTAGGCTTACAGAACATCTCAATTTGGACTGGCCACATTTCAAGTGCTCAATAGCCACACGTGGCTAGTGGCTATGGTATTAGCACAGGCCTGGTCTAACCAAGACTGGGGTCCGGAACCTCAATTTGGGCTGCCTACATGGCAGCAATGTTAGTAAGTCGTCTGTATGTATGTATGATGGGAAGAACATGAAGTAATATACGGGAAGTTCTCTGAGCCATTATTCTCCCATTACCATCATTAGCAGTAATCGTCATCAATGCGCTGGCATAGCCTGCATCCGGCCCTGTTGCTGCCTGCTTCCAGTTCAAGCAGCATTCTGTGCAGACCCAGATTCGATTATTTGGAGGAGCGGAGGGCGCAGTTTCCAGGTGTTGTAAGCCTGTACCTCCCCACCCCCGCCCCCAGCTGGGCCTCCCCTCCTAGGTGCGTGTTCCTCCTCCTTGCGTTAGGTCTCAGGCACCCCTCTGGCCTTCCCCTTCTATATATAGTGCTCTGTGGTGACAGCTGGTCATCTGATGACTCATCAGTCACTGTGGGTGTCTCTAGATGGAACCCTGAGCATTTATTCATATGGTGTTTTTGGCAGCTTCTGAGCTCCTCCTAGTAAGTACTTGCTTTAGGGGGTTGTCTTAAAAACCACATCAAGATTGGGGAATTTGATTCATCAGTAGGCCCCTAGCTAAAGACCCCTGGGTACTTGGCAATTCCAGCAGGGCTTTGGGGAACTGGCTCCGGGTGAACAGGTGGCCACAGGGGCATCGGTTGCTAAAGTGAGGGCTTAAATGGAGCTTTTCGCTCTCTCCTCGGTCACTCCACCTAAGGGCCTGGCTGGCCCAAGATCGGCCCTGTCTGCCACAGGGCCCTGCAGATGTTAACTCCTTTCAGAAGTGGCAGGGCTCCCGGTAGGACAGCTTGCAGCCCCCATCTCATTTCGGTAAGATGTTAAGGACTGAACACTGGCTTTGGAGCTAGCAGCAGCTGGGTTTAATCTAGGCTGCTCTGCTCACCAGCTATGCCATCCTGGGCAAGTCCCTTCTGATCGTGGTGCTTCCGCTTCTCATCTGTGCGATGCGCTCATTACCTCCGCGGCTGTCTCGTTCTGAGGACTAGGTGAGGGCCCCTCTGTAATGTGTTTACCCACAATCGCTGTTCTCATTGCCCAGCCCGACGTCCCTATGACTTCCGTTTCCCTTGAAGCAGAGCCTGAGACAAGAATTTGTGTGGAAGTTGTTTCCTATGGAAGTGCTTCCAGGAGACATCCGTCAGGGTATGGGGGAAGGAGAACCCTGAAGGGAAAGAAGCCAATTTCAGACAAAGTCCCTCTGCAGAGGGTAGCTTCAGCCTGACCCCATGGGGGAGGGGGACCTCCAAAGAAAGTCACAGGTGCAGGCTGTCAGAAGTTGGGGGAGGGGCACTTATAACCAGTGAAAGGGGCCCAGAGGGGTCTGCCTTTCTTCTCCCATCAGTGGCCAGCACCGCTGCATGGATGGGACTGGTGTCAGGGAAGGGGAAGGCGGTTAGAGTCAGGAGGAGCCGTGCTGCCCAGGCCTTCCCTTCACACCGCTGGGGAGGATTGCTGGATGAGGAGGATGTGGAAGTCTGAGCTCCCTCTGGCCAAGCCCAGCCTCTGGGGACACCCAGGCACTGGGTGTGAGGGGGTAGGGGAAGGCTCAGACCCGGAATTCCAGCGACTGTAAGTCTTTGCCCACCACACAGGCAAGGCTCCTGAGAATGGCTGCCAAAAACGCTTTGCAATCCGTGCCTGAGGTTTTATTTTTGTTCCCCTCAGCCTAGCAGCCGTCTTCCATCCTTCCACCTCTTCATCCCAGACTTGCAGGGTCTCTTCTTCAGGTTCCATCGCCCACCAGGGCTCCTTGAGGTCTGTCTCAGCTCCCTGTCTCTCCCCGGCCCAGCCGCTTTGTTCTCTTTCCCATCCTCTGACCTCCAGCTTCTGCCCCTCATTCTTCCGTTTTCTTTTCTTCACCTCTGGACTTCACAATAGCAACTTGGCCTGAAGGCTTCCAGAGTTGCATCTTTGTGCAGACCCCCAGCCCCCTTTTGCAACCCACCAAGGCTCTGTGCCCTATACCAGGGACAGGGGTTGCGGGGGCTGGGTTCCAGAGATCATCTCCCCTAACGTTACATTCATCAGCAATGACGAGTTTATTTTCCACTGTGAGGAATTCCAAATGCTAGTGGTGTTACCACTGCTGTCTTCTTGGTGCAGCTGGGATTCTGTTTATCACTGGGTCAGGACTTTGACTTCCTGGCTTTTTCATCCCAGTAGAACCCTTTCCTCTCCCCTCCTCTCCCCTCTCCCCTCCGTCTCCCCCTCCTCCCTGTTCCCCTTCCTCCTCTTCTTCCTTCCCCTCTTCCTCCCTTTCCCCTGCTCCTCCCCATTCTCTTCCTCCCTCTCTTCTCCCTGCTTCCATTTTCTTTCCCCTCCCCCTTCTCCTCTGTCCTTCCTTCCCTTCTCTCCCACCCTCACTTTGTCTTTCTCTTTATCCCCCTGTGGCTGTCCTCAGGATGGCAGTGACCCAGGCCAGACGCAGGGATGGGCTGCTTTGTGAGAGAGCACTGAAGGATATGCAGGTAAGCAGCAGGCCAAGGCCGCTCACAGTAGTGGACAAGTTGCTGAGGGCTGGTTCCTGACTTAATTTCTTACCCTGACAAGCACGGTCACTACCGCCCCGCCACAGTCATTATTACTATTTTCAACTTTAAAAAATTGCTTAACTCAGGGCGTGGCATATAGTTGATGTTCGGTAACAGTTGAATTGAAGAAGGATGCTTTTAAAAGGTCATTAAGATAAGTGCTCTTTGAAAATTTTACAACAATTCTATTTAGCTATTTGAACATAAACAACAGTATTATATTGTCTTAGTAAAAATACTTTTTCTTTCATTTGCTCACTTATTTTTCCTCCAGTTGCTCTCGCTCAGTAAGTGCTGTTTTTGTAGCATCACCCCTAGTTCTCGGCAGCCCTGCGATTCAGTGGCGCCTAGCGTGGTAAAGCTTTGTGGAAGCACTGCGTGTGTGCTCTTAGAATCTCACTAAGGGGTCCAGAACTGGAGAGCCACCTGCCAGCCTTGACAGTGAACCATGCACCTGTCAAGAGCGTGGTGTCTGGCTAATGTGACCACCCCTTGACAAGGGTGCCTCCTGGGGAATTGACTAGCCATAATGAGCCCCGCACGAATTGCTTCCTGGTAACCTAAGGTGGGCTAGGCTCTCTGCCACTAAACTCAGCTGAGGTCAGAGTCGTGGGGTGTGGTACCCACAACTCCTGGCAGTTAACCTCACACAAAAGAGAAACGCTCTCCTGGGCACAAACAGCCCCACCTTGCCTGCTTGTGGGCAATTTTGCCAATGTTTCCCATTAGTCACACAGGGGAGGGGCGGGTGGGGGGCAGGGTGGTCAGTGTGCACAGTCATTGCAAACTCATAGGCATTAGGAGGAAAACCAGAAATGCATTGCTATCTAAGGCCCCATGCTAAGTGCTGGCATCGGGGTGGTGTTCGGTGAAACCCCACATACAACACAGACTAATATACGGACCATCTACAAATCCTATGTTCTTGACCCTTGAACACCTTCTTTAAGAAGATCATTTGCTCAAGGAGGCATACCCTGACCCCTGGGGCAGGCACCGTGGTGTCCCTCTAAATCCCCTTGACTCTGGAACCAAAAGAGGGTTCCTTCTGCCAGCACTTGGGGCACTTTGCTGAGACTCTCCCTGGCTGCCTGAGTGGGCAATATCCAAAGAGAGGGCAGTCTGCACCAATGCCCCCAATTATGACTCTTAGAATTTGGTAGGCAGATGCCCCAGCTTTCTCCTTTGGGTGGGACAATCTGAGGTGTATTCTGCACTGTCAATCAGAAGTGTCCCACGACACTGAGTGCCATTTGCCCACAGTGGTGGCCTACTTATTAATGCATCCTCCGGCTCCCTTCCTGGCTCTCTCTCAGGCCCTTATTACCCTACAGGTGCTTCCAGGAATCACCTCTAAATGCTTACACTCAAAACCTTGCATCAGATTTTGCTTCTAGAGGAGCAAGATACTTCCCATCTAAATTGAGTCTCCTTGGGCCGGCCGAGTGGCGCATTGGTTAAGAGCTGACTTGGGACGCCAGAGGGCCCCGGTTCGGATCCCACATATGAGGGCCAGTGATACTGCCCTCTACAGCTAAGATGCTGAACAACAGCTCAACCTGGAGCTGGGCTGCCATGAGTCACCGGTGATGGCATGGGCTGCAGTCCCTGCTGCAGTGGGTTGCCATGGGCTACCGTGTGTGGCCAGCAGCCAGCGTGAGCAGCCAGCAGCCGCTGTGAGCAGCCGTCCAGAAGCCGAACTGATCTGCCTCGCCCGGGAATAGCACAATGATGGTGTCAACTTGGGCCAGTGAAGCAACTAGACTCCACAACTAGACTGAAGAACAAAAGGACAGCAACTTGTCTGTTCTCCTTCCCCCCGATTCCCCAGCGCAGTTCCCATCCCCCAATTCCCCAATAAAAATCTTTAAAAAAAATAAAAATATAAAATAAATTGAGTCTCCTTGCTCTTTCTGAAGGCTCATCCCCACCACCACCACCAATAGCGCTTATCATGATCTATCACTATGCATTTGTTTGCGTGTTTATTTATTTAGTGTCTGTCTTTTCTAGTAGAATGCAGGCTACACGAGGGCAGAGACAATGTTTATTTTGTTCACCCACTAAATCCCTACACATCACCCCAGCCAGGGCGTGACACATGGTGTATGCACAAGATCAATTCTGTTGAAGGAATGAACGAACGCAAAATCCTTAAGGGAGATAGGGCTTTCAACCTTAGTGGTGGTTTTAAAATATGAGCTCAAAATCTTCTGACACTCCTTCCAATGAGAGGTGGGCTCTGTTTCTCCTCCCCTTGAATCTGGATGTCCTAATGACACCTTCAATGAAGAGTATGACAGGGCTGGGCCATAAAAGTCCAAGCAGCTTCTGCCTTCAGACTCGAGTGGCTGTCATGTGAGAACTCTGATTATCCTTAGTTGGCCATGCTTTGAGGAAGCCCAATCCACATAAATAGGCCACATGTAGGTAGGTGCTCAGATGGGTAGTCCCGGCTGAGCCCGGACTTGGCATCATTTCAGCCCAAGTGCCAGACATGTGAGTGAAGGAGCCTGCAGATGATTCTAGCCCTCAAACCTTCACATCTTCTCAAGTGAGACCCCAGACATCATGGAGCGGAGACATGGCATCACTGCTGTGACCTGTTCCTATCCCGTGGAAACTGCAAGCATAATAAAATGGTTGTTAAGCTGCTAAATTTTGGAATAATTTGTTATGCAAAAATCACTAGGACACCCTTATTGTAACTTTATTAATTCCTCATTCATTCCACCATCATTTATTAAGCGCCTACCATGTACCAGGTGGTAGTTACACAGAGGGGCCCAAAGTAAACATCCCTACCTTCCAGGAACTTACAGTTTAGAAGCTGCTGTTGCAACTGTGTCTTGTGAAAGCCTACGTGTTGCTTTTTAACAATAATGAGTAGATTTTTCAAAAACCACTTCCAGATGGCGTGGGGGGAGGGGCGCTTCCTGAGCGAGTTGCCAAGGGAAGCTCTAGAGGTAGGTGGGTTAGATAGCATAGATCCAGAGAGCTCTACTATTTGCTGGCTGTCAACCACGGCTGCCCTGCAAATCATCCATGGGCTAGCTGCCCTCACGCCACGGAGAGGAGACCAAGAGGAGCTGGGAGGTCCCATCCCTGAGGCACCTCCCCACAGGCTCTGGAATGGGAGTAGGGGAACTTAGGCAAAGCTGGGGCCGCTGGCTGGCACTCCAGCTCCCTTATCTCATTCCAGAGCGTTGGTTTGGAACCAAGGGTGCTCCTATGTGTCCAGGCATGCCTACCTCCTGAAGTCTGGACTTGGGAAACGAGTGTTCCCCTTTCAAAAATAATAAAGCTAATTTTAAAAACGTCTGTCTGTCTCAGCTCTGCTGAAGCGAAACAAAGAAAAGGACCCTGTCCTTCCTGGGACCAGTCATAAAGGGTGTATTTCCTGGGGGGTGTGGGAGATGGGGGGGGGCAGCCCAGGGATTCTAGACGCCAATTGTAGGATCGTAGGAGGAAGGGATATTCCAGGAGAGAAGTTCCAGAGTCCAGCCTCACCTGTCTGCCCGGAGTTTTCCTTCCTGGAAACTTGCTTGTAAACAGAAGGAGGCCACGCAAGGGCACTATGGAGTACAATAAGGCCCACCACCCCCAGAGACTGGCAACGGTTGAACCTTACCCAGGTGGATGCCCTTAAGAATGGTCCAGCCCCAAGACGTCTAGGCCCAAGAGAACTAGATCCATGTCCTCTGTCTAGGTTGACTAAGGTCCACTTCCAGACACCAGAAGAACCACTTCCTAGTTCCAACCATTTCTTTCCTGAGCCAATGACAGAACAGGTGATGCCATCTCCAGGGAATCCCCAGCCCCATACCCCTGTCCCATCTGCCCTCTACTACATAATGTCGTCAGAGAACCTTCCTCAGGTAGCCCATAAGAAACCGACATTGTAGTAGCAGGCATAGATTGCTCCATTACCTGGAGTTTCCTTATGATTCTAAAAATAAATTATTTTTTTTGGGGGGGGGGAGGGGGGAAATAACATTTCCCCAAGGTAAAGATTTAGGGGAGCATTGCAGTTAACAAGGCCCTCAGAAACAGCACCAAACAAAAGAGCATGTTAAGACATGTATTCTTATTTGGAGGATGGGGTGCTTCCTCTGTCTCCTGGTTAATTCCGGGCGCTCCTCTCCTTCAGATTCCTGACTTCCTCTGGTAAGCCCCTCTGGATTATCCTGTCACACTTTGTCAGTCTCAACGCCGGCAGCTCTCCGTGTCCAGGTCCAGGTGGCATTATATTATCTTCAACTTCTGAGTTGCACTGTTTATTTTCCATCGAAAATCAGGCACTGAGGTGGGGGTTGGGATTTATTTCTTTGATGCGTTTCCCGTCTTCTACCGTCTAATTGACAACATTCTCAGGGCATGCCCTCCAAAAGTCGGCAAGTCCTTAGGCAACCCATTTTGACCCCCAACCCAAACCATTTTGGACTCCTCAAGTAGCAGCTAAGCACTCTTTCTGCCTCTTTCTCGTCTCCTCCTCATCAATATCACCCCACTTCTTGCAAAGAACAGATTGCTGTCCTGTGTCTCTAGTGGAGGGGTGTGTATGTGTGCGTGTGTGTGTGTGTGTGTGTGTGTGTGTGTGTTGGAAATGGGGTAGGAATGAAGAAGGGGAAAGTGTTGAGGGTTTCCTATAGAACATGTTTTACTTGCTTTTCTCTTTTGTGATGCAAACTGTTTTCTAGGAATTTTCTTCCTGTCTGTGTCTTGTCTCCCCCGTGGCCTCTCACCTCCTACAAGCTGTGGAGCAGAAAGAGCATTGTGGGAAGCAACCTGCCACAACTCCACTGTGGGGACTCCAAAGCCCACTCAGCTCCCTGGATACAGGGCTCCCTAAGGCCAGGGGCCTCCAAAGCCCCTTCCCAATTCTTATGCTTTGGTTATTGTAGCTGCATTTTTAATCTCACTGCTCTGCATGGCTTTGTGGAGGCCGCCTTCCCACCCACTAGAATGGCTAAAATTAAAAAGACGGATGATGCCACATGGCAAAAGCATGGATGAACTGGAACTCTCATCCATTGCTGGTGGGAGCGTAGAATGGCACAGCATAGAATGGAAGCGTTTCTGATGAAGTTAAACACACATCTACCTGTGATTCAGCGATTCCACTCTTGGGCATTTACCCAAGAGAAATGACAACCTCTCACCACACAAAGTTCTGTGCATGAGTGTTCACAACTACTTTGTGTACGATAGCCCCAAATCGGGAACAACCCAGATGTTTATCAACAGACCAATGGGTAAACAAACCGTGGTACATCCATCCAATGGAATACTACTTTGCAGTACAAAGGAAGGTGTGCCGATTTTCGAAACAACCGGGATGAATCTCACAGGCATTATATAGAACAAAAGAAACTGCACACAAGTGAGAAGGTGCACACTTCTGTCAAGTGAAGACATGATGAGAGAAGTCTGTGACCTGGAAGAGGGCCCTCGCCCCACCATGCTGGCACCCTGATCTTGGACCTCAGCCTCCAGAACTGTGAACAACACATTTTTGCTGTTTATTAAAAAACAAACAAACACACAAAAAACACATGCAGTATGTACTGTATGATTCTATTTATTTGAAGTTTAAGAACAAGCAAAACTAAGACAGTGGTTCTCATTCTCATAGTGTGAATCTCCACACTATGCCCCATTGGGGAGCACAGCTGACTATGTCTGGGGACATTTTTGGTTGTCACACTGGGGGTGAGTGCTACTGGCATCTAGGAGGTTGAGACCAGAGATCTGCTAAACATCCTACAGTGCACAGCTCGGCCTCACAATTTTCTGGCCCCAAATACCAATTGTGTCGAGGTGGGGAAACCCTGGTGTATGGTGATAGAAGTCAGAAAAGCAGTCACCTCTTGGGAAATGCTGACTAGAAGGGGCATAAGGGAATTTTCTGGAATGATGAACGTGTTCTATATCTGGGCTGTCTAATATAGTAGCCACTTGCCACATGTGGCTATGTAAATTAGAATGAAACACAATGAAAAATTCGGCTCCTTAAGTCACACTAGCCACATTTCAAGTGCTCGATAGCCACATGTGACAGATAACAGAACATTTTCAACTTTGTAGAAAGTTGTATTGGACAGTGATGCTCTATTTCTTGAGCTGGGTGGTGTAAAAAGCGTAGGGACACTTAAAATATGCACATTTTATTGCATGTAAATCATACCTCCATACATAACCTGGTGGGATAAAAAAAAAATCTTTCCTTCAGGGAAGGAGTGGAGATGTTGGCAAAGTCACAGCCCCCCTTCTGTCCTTCAGACCACCCTCGCCACCTGGGGCCAGGTCTGCTTGTACACCCAGAAGCTGGGCTGGACTGTGAAGGGGGAGGGGCTGCTGAGATTCTTCAGAGGGGCCTCCCCAGGGACAGAAAGTGCCAAGGCCATTTACCCTCCAGGGAATTCAAGGGCTGCCCTGGCTCCCAGTGGATTTACGAGTGGGTCAAGTGGATCTGTG